TCACACAAGCGTTGAAGGGTTTTCTATATCCCTTCATGGCCGGTGGCATAGGCCAACTCAATCACCTACTGGCGCAAGTCGTGTTGCGCCAGAATGAAGAGGCACTTGCCGTGGAGCAGGAAGCCATCGGCAGTACGCCATGGCGCGCCAAGGGCCGCATCCTACCGCTGCTGGCACAGGCGGCCCGTCTCCTCATCGGTCCCAGTAGCGGCACGGATCTCATCAAGTAGGCGAAACGAGGGACCCGAGAGGGGGAGTAGCTTGGCGGAGTCATCGATGGCGTCGTCCGCGGAGTTGAGGCACCTAGGGCAATACTCCACGGTGAAGTCAAACATGAACAACTTGCTAATCCACTGGTGCAGGGGAACCGTGGATAGCCATTGGTCTAGGAGAAACTTCAAGCTGTAGTGGTCGGTGCGGACGAGGAAGCGACAACCCTAGAGGTACGGCCGCTAATGCCACACTGCCTGGACGAGACCGATGAGCTCCCGCTCGTAGGCCGCCAGCTTATGGTGACAGGCGGCGAACGGGCGGTTGAAGGAGGCCAGGGTCCATCCCCTGGTGGAGCATGGCGCCCGACGCGCCGTAGTTGACGATGAACTGCAGGTCAAAATCCGGCATCTACAGGACCGGTCCCGAAGAGACGGCGTGCTTGAGCACCGCAAACGCCTCCACCGCCTTAGGTGACTAGTCGAAGGAGTCCTTGTGTGGCGGCCATGTCAGGGGCACGACGATCGTTCCGAAGTCCCGGATGAACTTTCGGTAGTATCTAGCCAACCCCAGGAAGCCGCACACGCCCCGGGGAGAGCGAGGCTCCAGCCAGGACAAGACGGCGTTGACTTTGTTGTTGTCCATAGTGACACCATCAACGAAGGTGATGTGACCGAGGTAAGCAATCGACAGTGGCCCCAAGGAACAGTTCGACCTCTTCAAGTAGAGGCCGTGCGCGCGGAGGGCGTCGAAGACGAGGCTGACGTGTTGCAATTGCTCGGCCCATGACGAGCTATAGATCAAAATGTCGTCGAAAAACACCAGCACGAACCTACGAAGGAAGGGGCGGAGGACATCGTTCATGAGTGGCTTGAAGGTAGCCGGGGTGTTGGAGAGACCGAAGGGCATGACCAGGAACTCAAAGTGCCCGTAGTGAGTACGAAACATCGTCTTCTCGATGTCCTCCTGGTTGATCCAGACCGCAAGTATAGCTTGGTGAAGTACTTGACGCCATGGAGCTCGTCCAGTAGCTCATCGACCACCAGGATCGGGAACTTATCCTTAGACGTCTTGTCGTTGAGCGCCCAATAGTCGATGCAAAAGCGCTAGGACCTATTCGCCTTCTTAACCAACAGCATCGGCGTCGAGAACGGGGACATGCTAGGGCGAATGATGCCCTACTCTAGCATGGCGGCGCATTGCTGCTAGAGTTCATCCTCCAGCATGATGAATGACCACCAGTGGTCGTAGGGGCGCGCGGGGGGCAGCCCGCGTGGCTCGGTGAAGATGTCGTTGTGCTGCTGGAGGGGGCTATCCAGCAGCGGCTGCCGGTGGTTGACGGTGATGGCGCTGAGGACCTGCGGTGGTGCGGCCGCGCCGAGGAAGCCCACGCCATACTAGACGACGCGGCAGTCGCCCCTCCAGAACGACAGAGTGAGGGCCTTGAAGTCCCGGAGGATAGGGCCCAAGGTCCGGAGGTAGTCGACACCAAGGATGAAGTCAAAGCAGCCCAAGTTGACGATGAAGCAGGTGATGGAAAACTCCTCGACGATGTGGATGGGGACGCTGCGAGCCACGCCCTCGCAAGCCAGACGATCCCCATCGACAATGTCCGTCGTCGCAAGGCCGATGCGGCCCATGGTTCCTACATAGAGAAAATTGTCGGTCGAGCCGATGTCAAGGAGGGTGAGCAGGCGGTGCCCCTTGACATCGATGTGCAGCAGCATGGTATTCTCCGTGCGGATGCCGGCAATGGTGTGGAAAGAGAGACCACTGGATCATCGGGCATGTCGGTAAGGGCCAGCTCGGCGCCCTCGTCCTCGACCGGCTCATCGACTAGGTAGTCGGTAGCCTCGAGATAGGACAACTCATGGCACTGATGACCCCGCACGTATGGCTTGTCGTAGTTGTAGCACAAGCCCTCGTGGCGACGCTCTAGCATCTCAGCCGAAGTGAGGCGGTGTAACGGCCGCGGGGACGCTGGTAGGGCTGGCGCCACGGGCGGGGCCAGGAGGGTAGACGTGGCGGTGCCTGCTGCAGGGGCGCGGTGTAGCACCAACTAGCGCTGTGGAGGACGAGCAACCCGTTGCGCCGGCGCCGACATGGTGGCCGCGGCACGGTGCTCGTAGGCCTGAGCCAGGTGCATCGTCGTCTACGGGTCTTGGGGCTCCCGGAGTTCGACGTCGACGCGGATGTGCTCCGAAAGGCCCTCCATGAACAATCAGCCTTTGCTAGGCGCGGGAGCAGCTGGGGGTTATGGCACACCACAGACCGTGTGGTGGAAAGGCAGTCGTGCAAGCTCGGAGAGGCGGTTGTAGCAGGCAGCTGACCCAAAGTGCAAATTGCACAGGTCCTTGAAGTGCTCCCACGAAGGCACGCCTTCATCCTGTTCTAGGGCATAGTACCAAGTCTAGGCGGCGCCCGTAAGGTGATACGAGGCGATCTAGGCACGATCCGAGGCCAGCGTGCGCTGCCCCCTGAAAAATTGCTCGCAATGCGTGAGCCAGTTCAGGGGGGGTCCTCCGTACCATCATAGGAGGTGAAGTTGAGCTTGCTGAAACGAGGCACGCCTAGCCCGACGAAGGGACCAGGCGCAGGTGGCAGCGCCAGGGCGGTGTAGTGCGTAAATGGGGGCCCTTGCGACGCTGAGAAGTTGGGTAGCGGGGACAAGGGGGGGAAATTAATGAGGTGGATGGGGATGGGGGCTGATGGTGTGGCGGTGGTAGACGCGGCGGGCAGGGTGGTGGGCGGCGCGGTGGAAAGCAGGGTGGTGGTGGTGGTGGACACGGCGGAAAGGGTGGTGGGCGCAGCAAAGATGGAGGAGAAAGCAGTTGTGCCGTACCCCGACATCCCGTAGGGAAAACCCTGGGGCATGGCGCCCACCAAGGAGGACGCCTGGTGGCTCTCCACGGTCACCAGACAAGTGTTGAGGTTGGTCAGTTGCTGGACGATCTCGGCGAGAGCTTTCGTAATGGCATCGGGGGCAGGCAGCGACACCACCGGCTGCTAGACGAACTCAGCGAGAGCTTTCGTAATGGCGTCAGGGGTGGGCAGCGACACCACCGGCTGCCCCAAGTCTCCTTGTCATCTTTGGAACTTGGCATTGCTGATACCAAGATGATAGGATCCGGGATCCTACCGCGGCTGCGCAGTGTGTAGGGATAGGTTGTGGGAGGCCGACGTCGGTACCCTCGTTGGCGATGGGGAGCCGTGGTGGCGCGGTGAAGGCGGCGGCGTGGCTAGGGCTCGGGGGAGGGAGAGAGACACGTGATGGGGATGGCCCCTTGAGGCCAGGCAAAGATTTTTGCCTTCCTTAATTCATTCCAAATAATCCAGAGGTACCTATCCTCTACTAACAAAAATCAATCACAATCTTATTTTTAAGGAAACAAATGAAAATATCTAAAAGGGAGAATCCTGGACGTCACGCCGGTCACAACAAATGAAGGACCAGATCATTCCGAAAGTCTAAATCATTTAGCTACCTGAGCACAAACACAGGGACCAGGAACTGAATACCTGTACACAAAAGGCAAATAAACAAGAGCCAGACTTTATAAATCTCATTTTTACTGACAGCTTCCACCTTGCACTTGCTACATAGATTAGAGAAACAACCATTGCAAGAAACAGTGAAGAGGATACTCCGTACTCCTGAATTTCTTCGAAAGCCTGTAACTGCAAGAATCAAAACACTGACATAAAACTTAAATGTCGTTGTCGACAATAAAGCATTCTCAAGCACACGCACTGGAAATTGAAGAAGGAATAATAACTCAGGGGAATAATAGACTAATAAGCTGGTTAGTAACTGGCCTGTAAGCAGATACTATTCACGTGCACATACTGTATTGAACTATTTCATTTTGTATCTGAAATGAAATAGTTCCATACTGCCATATACTATTCCTTTATTTGGTTGCTGTTTTTTTCTTTTACTTTTTCGTCCTATTTGACTTCTATGAGCCAAATGCAACAACAAAGGTGGCAACCAATAATTCTTTTACCAATCGACCAATACCTTTGACACTGCCGCTGAACATTATAGATCTTTATTACCAAAAAACCATTGATTCATACATGAGTAGAAACAGCATAGCTCGCCTCACACAGTGACCATTCAGGAACACAAGGAAAACTGCAATTAGAATGTCTTGAAATATCTTGTAAGAAGCAGGGAATGCTAACATTTCGACATTGGGGATGATGATGCAGTTACTGTACACATATTAATCTGGACATAAAAGACTTTCTTCAAGGTACAAATGTGCTGCCATGTTAATATTTAATAATCCATTATAGTGAGCCAAATAAAATTGGAGACAGAGCAAAGCAAAGGACAGAGGGAGAAAGAACTTACCAATGAAATCCATTCTGAAGCGATGCCAAAGAACAAACAATGTGATTCCTCCTTTTCTATTTGCCAACAAGACAGAGAAATCCGACAGCCAAGAATACAACATTATAGAAAAAAGCAAAATGACCAAAATTTAAAAGAAGAGAATAAAATAAGAGAATCATAGAAAGGAACAATAAAAATGAGAAAGGAGAGGTCAGCTCAGGCATGCCATGTTGTATAAAGTAATAGGAAACTACTGATTCAGAAACCTTTTATATTTGCTAAGGGTACGAAACTAATGGAACATTTGTGTGTGACACAATAATGCATCTATGTAGATAGCAACAAAAATAGACCACTATTCTAGCAGTTAGCTACTAATGTAGCAAAACAAAGAACATAATAAGGCACTGAGTCACTAACCATTGCAGGACCTGGAGCCCCATGATCCCTAAGAAAGCTTCAGATCAAAATGAGGAAAATCTGCAAGGGACAAGAAACGTAAGCAACTCCCTGACAGCATGATTCCACCAGACATTGGAAAGCACATGTGAAAGGAAATAAACAAATACAACAAGGCTTCTAATTAAACCAGTGCTTGAAAGCAAGGAAAAGAAGAACCTACTAATCCATATCCCCCAACCTCGCTGATGTGCCATAGACAAGATCAGCCCCTCCCTTTGCTCAGCACCATGGCCTTTGTGTTCAATTCCTTGCATCTCGTACATGGAAATGTATTGTTCTATCAAGCTAATTAACTTCAAAAATCATAGAATGACGATTGTTTAGAAAATTACCTTTTTTTCCATTCCAGACCTTACTGACGACCTGCAGCAGAAAAAAAAAACCTGGAATTAAAATTACCTGTTGCATAGCGTACCTCAGCGAGAATCTGCAGCAGGAAAAGTGTAACAGAATATTACAGGGAATAAAGGGATCAAACTGGAAGGACAAGATGCCAAAATGAATTGGGAGCGGTCTAACCTTTGCCTAGGCAATATCACAAACACATGGTGTGCTAGAGCATAAGCGAAATATTATCATCAACCAGTAGGTCCTGCCAAAACAAATAAAAAGAGATCAAGATAGAAAGGAAAATCAAACAAAGGAAGCCTATAGGAACACAGACAACGACATCATAGCCAGGCATGTTGAGCACGGGGTGGAGATGGTGACGTGATTTTCTAAATGTTGAGGGAACAGGAATACCAGCTTCTAAATGAAAGTAAAACAACTCCTGGGTGGTTGCAGGAAGTATTCCAAAAATTGCATTCATAAATAGTCATAAGAAAAAGTCAGAACAGAGACCAAATTCTTCTTTTGTTAAGTTCAAGAAAGAACCAAACAGCTCATAAAGAAGCATAAACTTCAGTTTCAACTAGTTATGGATTGACATAAAGCATCATAAGAAAACAACACAAAATGGATGAATAACCTGTGGACAAAGCAGTCCAGTAAACCCTGTTATTTGCCAGCAGGCAGCACATATCAAGATACATTTTTCTTTAGTGAATAGGAACAGTCTTCAGCCCTCAGAAAAAACGCAAAAATACTAGCTAATGACCTAGCTAGGTTACATGGTTAATCAATGGATGACAGGTCATAAACCAGATATGAGTACCATGGCGTATAATATGGAACATAATCCCAGTAAATATATAATGAAATTAGCATATAGAACAGGCAGGTCCAGTAGTATTTCATCTAAACTTCTCTAAGCCAGCAAGTTGTTTCAGACATAGGCAAGGAACAAACCTCTAAACTTCTCTAATCAAAATTTGCATCTAAGCCAGCGAGTTGTCAATTAGCTCTTGTATTAGCACATGAGCAGGACTTCATTCCCTGGGTAATGGTGGTAGCTTGTGCTGTAAGTACATCAAGCTTCCACTCCAGAGAAGCAAGCTGCCTTTTCCAAATCAGAAATTTCAGCACTAAAGAGCAAGCTTTGAGCCACTGAAAGAATAAAGAAAATCAGTCAAAAATGAAGAGATCAAAACAGACTGTTAACAGGAAAAGCATCAGCTCAACATTGAGCGAACCTTGTCGCATTACAGTGCATGACCCACTAAACTGTCAAATATCCAAGTCAGGTTAGATTTTTTTTACGAGACAGACTCGTAATGTTCAGAGTCAAATATGATGGATAAGTCTCATGTGTGGCTGGTCTTTGTGGGGCTGTGCTGCTCACATGGTCCTTGTGGCTGTTTTTCTGTTTTTAGGACAGCATCTTAGACTAGAGGACAGCATCTTAGACTAGAGGACAGCATCTTAGCTAGGACATCATATTAGCATCTTAGACTAGCATCTTGGCATATGCTTGGCTGGCTAGCAGCCTATAAATATGTAACCCCAACCCCTCAGGTTGGTATGGCATTTGTATGAGTTTGTGTGAGAAATAAACCAGAAAATTGCCCCAACTCCTAGTGTCATCCTCTCTCGATAAGAGTAAGAATTCTGCTACTACCGAGAGTGAGAGTTCAACGACTAACAAAATACTCAAACACTACCTAAGTTTGCAAGATGCTAACTTAGATCATTTGCGAAACAAACTGAGCAGGAGGTCTAGAAACGACAGACTCAAGCAGGGTAAAACCCAGAAAAAAGAAGTGAGCAAACCAGAGTAGAACAAGTTATTATATTATAAAAAAAATGTATCTATTGTTTTTGCAAGGGTTGTAAGGGAAGTGCAGCTCTAACAAAGCAGGGCACAGAATGCTGCCTCATCAGTTCCTTTCCTGTAAGGAATAAGACAGCCTACAGGATGTTTTCAATATTTTCTGACAAGAAAGCATATTCCTGATTCTCCCCTCGTCTCAAATAGATGAAATACTTTCGAAAGCAAACTCCAAGTCATCCCCCTAGAAATGGCACTCATTAAAAGCACATACCTGTCACTTGACACGCTGACAATTTGACAGTGGCTAGCTGTCCTTGAGTTGTCACTAACTATTCCCTTTGTTCATCTTTACTTGCTCGTTCGTATGCTTTCATTGGCTTGCTTTAAGCCTTTAACTAGAAACCTGAAGATGATCTGTATTGAATTAATAACTTGTGCTGTAAGCATCCTTGCAGACTCGCTTTCTCAAATGTATGAACTGTCTCCTGTAGGTGTAATAACTTCTAAAGCTTTGAGCAAAAATACCACGTTGAAACAGACAAGAAGCATACACTTGGTCTATGACATGTTTAAGACCAGATGACTCCATCATTGCACTAAGGCCTAGGTCTTCCTGAACTCCTCAAGAATAGAAAAACGAAAATACAGTTTCTTCAGCAAACAGATAAATGCAATTGCTCTCAAATAATAAAGGGTAGGGATGCAGGCAAATATAAAGATGGCCCTTATATTGCAAGGAATCCCTTCATACTCATACATATCCTTCACAAAAGATCAAACTGGCACAATTCCCAACACTAGAATTTAAAAAGACAAGAAGATTTACCATATACATACTACAGAGTACATAAGAAACCATAGCTTAACTACTCCAGATTGATGACACCTTCAAATCATCTTCAAGTACAATTAAGCACAACATAACACATCCAAGTTAAGGTTGAGATTCCAACCTCCGTTTACCCCTTTTGGTCAGCTTCAGTTGAGTTCCATCTTAATGGCAGTCTTTCCAATCTGAAATAACAGTCACGAAATTATCTTTTCCGTGACACTGTCAGACTTATCTGCCTTGCTCAGCATTTCTCTGAAAAGAGTTAATGCATCCTCTATCCTACCGGCTTCACAGTAGCTATCAATCAAAGTCTTACAGGTAGCAACATCGGGTTTCAAGCCCATAGAGATCATGCCACCAATTAAAGTAGTAAATGTAACAGCATTGGGTTTCAAGCCAATCGAGAGCATATCATCAAGGAGCTTCATCACTTCGTCTGGTTTACCAGCTAAGAAATACCCATGAATCATTGTACTATAGGAAACTACATCAGGCTTTACGCCTGCGTGTGGCATCAAATCAAAGAGTTTTTGGGCCTCCGTAACCTTTCCTTCTTTGAAGAGCTGGTCTATCATTGCATTGAAGACAACGACAGTAGGACGAATGCCACTATCCATCATCTCATAAAATAGTTCCTCAGCCTTCCCCCATTTGCCGTGCATAGAAAAACCATGAATTAGAGTTGTAAATACTACGACGTTGGGAGACAATCCATCATCAATCATTTGATAGAATTGGGCCATTGCATCTTCCAGCCGGCCGATCCTGAAAAGCCCATCTATTACTGTCCCATAGTTAACTATGTCTGGCACCAATCCTTGCTGCCGCATTTTGTTAAAAGTAAGCATTGCCTCATCAAACCTTCCGCATTTACAGTATGCATAGATCTGTATGTTGAATATATGATGATCAGGTTGCATTCCATTTCGCACCATCAGATCTATGAGATTATTCATTTCAACAAGATTTCCTTCAGTAGCATACCCATGAAGCAGACTTCCATAGGTGGCGACATTGGGTTTTTCACCGCTCTCAATCATAGAATTAAAAATCTCTCTAGCTTCTGTGTGCCCTCCAGATTTACAAAGAGAGTCTATCAGCATACTGTAAGTAACAACATCATGCCGTTGCCCATCTCTGGACATTTCTTTGAAGATTCTGACGGCCTCTTTCCACTGTCCCGAAGAGAGGTATCCATGGAGCAGACTGTTATATGTAGGGCAGTCAGGCATAATGTGTTCGTCAAACATCTGTCGAAGGACCTCCTCGGCCTTGTCCATTGCTTGAACCTTGCACAGTCCATCGATGATTGAGTTGCAAGTCACAACACTAGGCAGGATTACACGATAAAAAATAATACGTTGAAACGGTGACAAGAAGCAGACACTTGGTCTATAACATGTTTTAAAACCAGATGACTCCATCATAACACTAAGGCCTAGGTCTTCTTGAACTTCTCAAGAATAGAAAAACAAAAATATAGTTTCTTCAGCAAACAGATAAATGTCAAAAAATAAAGGCTAGTGATGCAGGCAAATATAAAGATGGCCCCTATATTGCAAGGAATCCCCTCATACTCATACATATCCTTCACAAAATATCAAACTGGCAAAATTCCCAACACTAAAATTTAAAAAGACAAGAAGATTTACCATACACATACTACAAAGTACATGAGAAACCATAGCTTAACTTCTCCAGCTTGATGACTCCTTCAAATCATCTTCAAGTACAATTAAGCTATGCAGCATGGATACGGATACGCGTATCGGTATCGGAAGGATACGGATACGCGGATACGGCAATTTCCTAAAAAAAACCCGATACGCGGATACGTTTTACTATTTTTTAAATAAAAATAGATAATAGCGCATATTAAAATTGTGAAAGACTGAAAGTAGTAAATTACCTTGAAATAGCAATTGCCAGCCAAAGCAAAGAACGGAACTCCGGAAGCATCTCCATTCTTCAATTGTCCATTCTCGAGTTCTCCAAGACTCCAAGTCCAGAATTTGCAAAGAAAAACCAACGATCAATCAATTTATTACTAAAACTTGAGTATTCAGTAATCAGTAGTAGTTCAGTACATCACCTTCTACTACTAGTGTACTGGAGTCTGAACTCTGAAGTAGACAGGAGAGGAGAGGACAAAGGAGTACTGTTATTTAAAACTAATAACAATAAAACATTGCAATTAACCACTTAAGTATACTATTATTACAACACAGCAAGTTCCTATTCCTCATTTATTTCATTGTCATCCACAACATGAACCTGCGGATCATCCAAACCAAAAGACACAGCTTGCAATTCAGGTTCATCAAGGGACAGGTCAGCCACTTCAAGAATGCCAATACCACCAAGTGAATCAAAAGAATCCCCTCCTACATCTCACATCCTTGTCTCTCTTGTCTTGTATGATTTGAGTGCACAAAGACCGCACGCTCGGCAGGCCAGATACGTGTCGGATGGCGTATCCAATTTGCACGAAAATAATAAAAAAGCTGATACTCCGAGGATACGCATCCTGGGCGTATCGGACACGTATCTGTATCCGATACGTATCGGATATGCGATACGCAGCTTCAGGGACGTATCCGTGTAACATAGCAATTAAACACAACATAACACATCCTAGTTAAGGTTGAGATTCCGTTCTCTATTTACCCCTCTTGGTCATCTGCAATTTGAGTTCCATCCCAATGGCAGTCCTTCATTTCTGAAATGACACTCACAATATTATATTTTATGTGATAGTGTCAGTCTTATCTGCCTTGCTCAACATTTCTCTGAAAAGAGTTAATGCATCCTCCATACTACCGGCTTCACAGTAGCTATCAGTCAAAGTGTTATAGGTAGCAACATCAGGTTTCAAGCCCATAGAGATCATGCCATCAATTAGGGTATTAAAGGTAAAAGCATTGGGCTTCAGGCCAATCAAGAGCATATCATCAAGGAGCTTCGTCACTTTGTCCACTTCACCAGCTAAGAAATACCCATGAATCATAGTATTATAGGAAACAACATCAGGTTTTACACCTGCACACGGCATCAAATCAAAGAGTTTTTGGGCCTCTGTAACCTTTCCATCTTTAAATAGTTTGTCCATCATTGCATTGAAGACAGCGACGCTAGGAGGAATGCCTCTATCCATCATCTCATAAAATAGTTCCTCAGCCTTCTCCCATTTGCCGTGCATAGAAAAGCCATGAATTAGAGTACTATATATTATGATGTTGGGAGACAATCCATCATCAGTCATCTGGCAGAAATGTGATATTGCATTGTCCAGCCGGCCTATCCTGCAAAGACCATCTATTATCGTCCCATAGCTGACTATGTCTGGTGTCAATCCTTGCTGCCGCATTTTGTTAAAAGTAAGCATTGCCTCATCTAACCTTCCGCATTTACAGTATGCATGGATCTGTATGTTGAAGGTATGATGATCAGGTTGCATTCCATTTTGTACCATCAAATCTAAAAGATTATTCACTTCAACAAGATCTCCTTTGGTAGCATACCCATGAAGCAGACTTCTATAGGTGGCGACATTGGGGTTTTCACCACTCTGAATCATAGAATTAAATATTTCTCTAGCTTCTGCATGCCGTCCAGATTTACAAAGACAGTCTATCAGCATAGTGTAAGTAACAACATTTGGTCGTTGCCCATCTCTAGACATTTCTTTGAGAATTCTGACTGCCTCTTTCCACTGTCCCAAAGAGAGGTATCCGTGGATCAGACTGTTATATGTAGTACAATTAGGCATAATATGTTCGTCAATCATCTGCCGAAGGACCTCCTCAGCCTTGTCCATTGCTTTAACCTTGCATAGGCCATCAATGATTGAATTGCAGGTCACAACATTTGGCGGGATCCCATGATCGAGCATTTCACGAAACAGGGTGTAAGCTTTCCGTATCTCACCCTCTTTAAAGAAGCCATCGATTACAGTGTTATAGGACACCACATCAGGTGGGCAGTTGTCTCCATCTTCAGCCATCATGTGGATCAGCTCGACAGCCTCTTCACATTTCTTCTCAGCACATAGCCCTTTGAGTAGTGTGGTGTAGGAGAAGACATCAGGGGTGCAGCCGAGCTCAGGCATCCGCCTGACCACAATATTCACCGCATCACTCGTCCTCTTCTCAGCACAGAGGGTCCTGAGCAGGGGCGTGAAGATGATGGCATTTGCCCTCAGCCCCGTCTTAAAGATTTGGCCCAATGCAGCGAAGCCGAGGTTCAAGCAGCCCGCACCGCAACAGCAACTGATGAGGATGGTGTAGGTAGCTATGTCTGGAGCCACCTTCTTGACCATACGGTTGAACAGGGACACGGCGAGCGCAGGGCCTTCGCGCACGGTGGAGGAGACCGGGGCGCGAGCGACGGTGGTGAGGAGCTGGGTGAGGGCATAAACGGAGCCAGGCCTCGCTTGAGGAAGCAATTCGTCGAATAGATCGAGTGCGTCCTCGGGGCCGAGGTCCCCCGATCGGTAACACTTCCCGATGAACTGCTCCAGCTCCCAGGAAGGGCGGCGGTCGGCCCTCCACACGTCCACCGCTGCCGAAACGGCCGGCGGCGGGGAATGCCTTTGGATCGATGGGAGCACCTCGTCGCAAAGTAGTCTCGCGGCCTCAGGGGTGAGACTTCCCGAGCGGAGGCGCCGTCCAATGATCCGCTTCAGCTTCTTCAACCAAGGCGGGCGCGTCCGGCTCGACATGGTCGGCGCTGGCGGTTGGATCCACGCCTCGCGCCTCCGATTCCCCTCCGGTTCGGTGGCAAATGCAGCTCGCTCTTGGGATGGTCCGCACAGCGCGGCGGTGGCGGTGTGCTGGTGTGAGAATGGGGAACGAATCGAAATTAGTTGGAAGCGGCGGCGGCGGCGGCGGGCTCGGTGGTGTACTCGCGGTGGCGGCTGGGCTCTGGTGGCTGCCTTCGCGTGCTTGGGGGAGTACTGATCACGTGCCTGGGAGTGGGCCACCAGGTTGGCATGTTTTCTTTGGGCTTCGACGTTTGACCAAGTAAATCTGGAGTTTTTTTTTCTTCAAGTAAAATAGAAAATTAATTTGAGCGCCAGACAATTTGAGGTGTTATGCATAGAGTGGCAACCGAGGAAATACTGATTTGAGGATCTAAAATATCAACAACAAACTCAAAAAGTCAAAATGAACCGGAAAAGAAAGAGAGAGAAGTCGACCATGAATTGTATATTTGACTTTAATTTCTGTTAATACTTTATAGAATAATGTTTTCTTTTTTTTGAAAAGGTTATAGAATAATGTTGAATTTATTACCACAAATTCCTCTCATGTTGATGTTGATCTCGTGCTCATATCATACAAATGAAGCTTGTCGTCTCATTTTTATGATCAGTTCAAAATAGTAATCGACCACATACATTGAGTATAATAATAGTTTTTAAACCAACCAAAGAGAAGTGAATTGTATTAAAAGAAAAGAAGGTTCAAACTAGACAAACAACAACCCAAAAAAGAGTTTATAGCAAGAAAAATAGAAAATATGCAATTACGACGACTAAGGTATGTTCACAACAACCTACTCTTAAACAAGGACAAGTAGCCACATCTAACATATGTAGAAGCAAACAAACCCTCGCCACCCCACCTAGAAGACATGACCTTTTAAACCCATCATAGCTTAAGTCTAACGTCAACTACTTCTATAAATACACTGTTGCATCCATGGGCGGACCCAGCACCAATGACCACAGGCGCTGCCTCGGCCGTCTCACGACAGACGTGAGGATACTGTCTGGCATGCACCACAACATGCACCGCATTCTGTACTATACCTTTGGTTAGTAGGCTCTACTAAATCAATCACTCAGATTACTGCTTCTCAAGTCTCACGAAGTGATATATATGTAGCAGAAACTCAGCTATCATGATGTACTAGTACAGGTTAATAAATGACTTTTAACTTCTACTCCTTAGTAAAATTATCATTCTTCGATGGTTTCAAAACTAAAAGACTTTAAAAAAAAATACAGCTGGCGCGTACCTTTGAGCTTACATAATGTATACTGGACTTCTTTTTGGAGTATAACGTATACTTATTTTTAGTGTAATAGGGCCTGTTTGTTTTCTAGAAACAAATTGCCACCATTTTGTCAAAAAAAATTGGCTCACTTGTATAAGGTTAGTGTTCAAAATATTTGCTTCATCTTGGTAAGACTAATAAAATCTTACCACAAGCTTTTGAATTATTGACATGTGCACAATCTAATTTATATGAGTGATGGTCGATATATTTATATGAA